ATGAGGACATTAAGTTGCGCTGTCTATAACTGCTGTGACTGGATGATGCTGGATTGAAACAGGCTGTGTATTCAGTTGTATATGAGACCTTTACAGTCTGCCTACTTTGGAGTTCGGTTGAGCTCTCCAGGGGTTCCGAGAGTAAGTGCTTGTGCAGCCCAGTGGTGTTCCGGGAGAGTGCCCAGGGGGGAGTTCCGGTTGGTATGTGGTGTGTTCCTGGAGGGGCCGCGTGGGTGGCGTTCAGGAGAGTTCCCGGGGAGTGTGCGTGGAGTGCTGTGGGAGTTCAGAAATTAAGTTTGTTCCTGCTTGAGTGGCTCGTGATTTGTGCCCAGCCAGACTGCGGCAGTACACCTCCAGCCCTTTTTATTTTTTGAGCTGGTGTCTAAGTTGCCCAGATGGCCTTGAACTTGCTATCCTTCTGCCTCAGCCTCCCAGGTGCTGGGGTTATAAGCGAGGGCCACCATGCCTGGGGGTTGGCATAAACCCATGAACCCATGACCAGCCTCCAAAATTATCCACATGTGGTCAGTGTTGTCCAATCACCATCCTGAGCTGTCCCCGGCTGACCTCAGGCACCATGTTATCTCTACGCAATGATGGGCTACCCAGCCCCTTTTTGCTCCTGCCAGAGCACCTCACATGGCTCAGCAATAAGTACTGAGTTTTCTTTTTCTTTTTCTTTGTTTTTATTACCAGAGATTGAACCCAGGAGAGTTAACCACCAGGCCACATCACCACATCACCAGCCTTTTTTTTTTTTTTTTTTTTTGAGACAGGGCCTTGCTAAGTTGCTGAGGCTGGCCTTGAATTTATGATCCTCCTGCCTCAGCCTCCGGAGCCACTGGGATTACAGGTATGTGCCACCATGCCCAGCTGATATTTAGTTTTAAGAATGGAAATAGTGGACCCTGTGGTGGTGCATGCTTGTAATCCCAGCAGTTTGGTAGACTGAGGCAGGAGGACCACAAGCTGGAGGTCAGCCTGGGTGACTCAGTGAGACTCTGACACAAAATAAAATTAAAAGGGCTGGGGGTGTAGCTCAGTAGTAGAGCCCCCTTGAGTTCAATCCCTGGTAATACACATGCAATCTTACCACCTTTACTTCTGTTGGGAAACAGAGAGGGAATGACGGTTCTGCACGCTGTAAGTTTCATCAACCACAAAGAGAGGCCAAAGTCAGGGCCTCCTGGAGGAATTGGGAGGCCGCACCTAGCACATCGGCAGGTTACAGTCCCCATGGTCAGGGCAGAAACGAGCAGGACGTGTCCGACTTGTGTGTGCTTCATTTGAACTTAGCAAGYCCAAGTTTTGATTCTGTAAGTGTTTTGGTGAATTTGACCCCAGTGCATTTATCCTAAGTTAGAAATCTTCACCTAAATCTTATATAACCTTCATATACATTTTCACGTATTATAAAATACGTACTTTGAAATGCTCCAGTCATTCATGTATTACTTCTCTCAAAAAATAAAACTCTTAAAAATGTTTCTTTCAAAAGATAATATAAGTGACCTATTTTTTGCTCATGTAAGTTTTGATAAGTGTCCCCCATCCAGGACGATGGGGCTGAATGGGTTACAATGATGCATATGATTAAAAGAAAAATCAGAGGGGGCTGGGGACGGAGCATGTGCAAGCCCTTGGGATTGATTGCTCCAGCCCTACAGGGTTCATACCCCATCCTAAGCTGATYACTTCCTGAAGGTAGAGCCTAGAGGAGATCGCTGATCACCACTCACCAAGAGTAAAGAGTAAGCTGGGTGTGTCAGTGCAGGGTCAAAGGTTCAAGGTCAGCCTGGCAACTTGGCCAGATTGTCTCAAACAGGGTTGGGGTACACTCATACATTGGTGGTGGGACTGCAAATTGTGCAACCGATCTGGAAAGCAGTATGGAGATCGCTTTAAACACTTGGAACGGAACCACCATTTGCCCCAGCTAGCCCACTACTCAGTCTATACCCAAAGGACTTAAAATCAGCCCACTACAGGGACTCAGCCACATCAATGTTTATAGCAGCTCAATTCACAATAGCTAAACTGTGGAACCAACCTGGATGCCCTTCAGTAGATGGATTTAAAAAAAACGTGGCATATATGCACAATGGAATATTACTCAACAATAAGACTAAAATCATGGCATTTGCAGGTAAATGGATGRAACTGGAGAATATCATGCTAAGCAAGTAAGCCAATCCCCCCAAAATCAAAGGCCTAATGTTTTCTCTGATAAATGGATACTAATCCATAGAGGGGGGGGATGGCATGGGATAGTGGAGGAACTTTGAATTGGGCAAGAGGGAGGGGAGGGGGCATGGGGATAGGAAAGTCGGTAGAATGAGGTACATGTGTGATTGCATGAACGGTGTGACCTTACGTCCTGTACAACCAAAGAAATGAAAAATTGGGCTCTATTTTGTGTACCATGAATCGAAGAGCATTCTGCTGTCATGTATAACTGATTAGAATAAATAAAAAAATTTTTAAAAGGGCTGTGGATGTGAGTCGTCAGTGGCGGCTCCTGGGTTCAATTTTTGGATATTGAAAGAAAAAAAGAGTCAAGAACTGGTTTCTGTTGGCTCCTTTGGAAGGGAAGGTGAACAGCGAGACCTATTTAAATATTCCATCAGGGTCAAGGCACAGGATCTGTTGCCTAAGAGGTCAGATGGGAAAAGGAGCTCGTCCTGACACAGGGCAGCGAGCACCAACCAGGGCCCCGAGTCCTGGGCACGGCATCAGTGTTACCCAAGTGGTTGTGCATGCCACTTGAGTGGGAAGACAGCCTGGAGCTGGTCTCCCGGGGCAGCTCCTCCACCCAGTCCCTCCCCAACAGCATGAGGTCCTGGGCTGCACCCGGATGGAATCTGGAATCTTACCCTTTCCTGGAAGGGCGGTCACCCAGCACCTGAAACACGTGGCACACAGCAGGCGCTCACCAAGTGGGCCCGGGGCTGCTGCTGCACAGGAACAGGGGGCCCGGATCTGCAGGGAGGCTTTGCACACTCACCCCAGATGGTCCCAAGAGCCAAGTGCTGTTTTAATTACTTTACAATGTCCTGTTTTCTTGCTGGTCCCATGGGTCAGTCTAGTGGCCTCTCCTCACCTCGCCCCTCAGCAGGGTCTGGAAGCTCCCTCCAGCMCAGGGGTGCTCTCCAGCAGTACTGCGGGCCACTGAGGGCACGCCCCTCTTGGCCTACTTTGCCTTTATGCGATATCAGTGGCCTCTGATCCCACAAGGTGGTGGGGCAGGGCAGGGTGAGCCATCTTTACCAGAAACAGCGAAGAGCAGAAGGGGGTCCTCAAAAGACACGTCAATGACCAAATCCTGAACCTGCAAATGTGACCCTATTTGGAAAAGGGGTCTGTGTGGATGTTAAGTTTGGATCTTGAAATGAGACCTCCCTGAATGAACTGCATGAGTGGGCCAGAAGAAGTGCCCCCAGAGGAAGAGAGGGAAGACAACCAGAGGAGACCCCGAGGCAGGCGGAGCCGAGGCCACAGTGCTGTGACCCAGAGTGGAGGAATGCTTGGAACCCCCCGAAGCTGTAGGAGCAGGAGGGTCCTGCCTCCTCCTCCCAGGGTGACTGTGCTGCGTCTGTGTGAGCCAGCCCTGCCTGGGTGATGCAGCCCTCTGTATCATGGCTCCGCATCACAGGTTTGAGCATCTCGACGACGTTCAGGAGTGCGCATTTTCTCATCACACCCGATGACACAGGAAACACCTCACTGCACAGAGCTCCTGGGAGGACTCGGCACGCCAGACAGCGTGCACAGGGAGGTTCCCCGGGAAACTCGAGCAGCTGTGGACCCGGTGCTCGAGTCTGGGGACAGTACTCTGTGAATACGGGCACAGCTGTACTTGGAAAGGCTCGCACTTTGAGTCCAGGGAACAAAGAGGCTACTCATTCTCACCAAGGAAGGAGCCCAGGTAATGAGGAGACAGAAGTATTTCAGACATTTGGAACTGCAGTAAGTCTCATGTGGGTGTCCAGAATAGCAGCAGTGACCACACCCGTCCACCCATTGCCTGGAGGAGGGATGAGGGAAGAGAGGCTCCCCCACCACCATGGAAACCTGACTGGGGAGAGGCCCACAACCACCCTGGGCAGCAGGCTGCCACGCGTGGCAGCAGTGCACTCAGCTGAGCACAGGGCCCCTAGGCCACGGGACAGCTGATGGGCCACGTGGTGGGTGAGTGAGCAGCGGCAGCTGCCGGGGGACACAGCAGAGCAGGGCAAGCCCGGCGTCCTCGGGAAGGCCCAAAGCCAGCATTGCCGACGCTGCCGTGGGCAGGTGCAGCACTGAGCCCTCAGTGACGGACAGGATGAAGTGCCTGCAGGGCTCAGTCCAGCCAGAGACCACAGGTCCTGAACACCGGGCCAGTGCCCACAGGCCCCAGACAGGACGCAGACTCTGGTCAGCTCTGCCCCAACAGAGACAAGCCAGGTACCTCAGTCCCAAGACAGCATGGTGCCCTCCGGGAAAGCCCGTCGGCCTCAGCGGGGCAGACACCAGCAGTGCTGGCCGCGCCACCCCCAGATATGATGCCATCCCCAGCCGCACGGGCACTTGCTCTGGCTGCCTGGCTGGCCACTGAGTAGCCTCTCAGCACCCCCCACAGTCCCTCCCRGGAGCCTGGCTCCCTCTGCCTCACTGGGCTGCTCCGTGACTCAGGACCCGTGTGAGCCCCCAGGGCAGCAGGCGTCCTGGTGCCCAGCACCCATGCATCTGGAAGGGTGCCAGAGATGAGGCAGTCGGTGTGGGTGGGAGAGCAGAGCCAGCGGCTGGAAAGGACAGAGGGGACTCTCCGTGCATGTCAGGATGCTCATGTGGGATGACACCCGCTCCTCCGCTGCCCTCTTCTGGCCTTCAATGTCCCTTTCAGATGGCGACACTGCCACAGCCCGTTTTCAGCGTGATGAGGGCTTACTCTCAGCATTCCTCACTGGCAGTGGAAAATGCTTCAGTACTTTATTGAAAGAAAGCAATAAATAATACTGTGATAAAAATAGTTCAAAAGTAGACTGTACATACTTTGTTACATAATCAGGAAGTCCACAGAAGATTAATAGAAAAACACAACAGTAACAATGAATTGTACAAGTGAATCAAAAGCAGAAGCCAAATGTAAAGAGACAGCGCCCTCCATCTGCACATCAGCTGCTAATAAATAACACCATGATCTGACTCTCCGGGCTGGCTTTTAATGTGCCGTTTAAAAAGTAAGTTACATCTGCTACTCAGACAATGCAAAATGGCTACACCATCCAAGTCTAAAAATGCACCACGAGGTTCATTCTTTAAACATGTGTACAAACAAATGTAAAAACAAGATTTACACAAGAAAAATAAGGCCTTTGTTAGAGTTGTACGCGGTTTCAGGAGCCCTGCCCTCGCCCTCGCCAGGAGACCACCTCTGGGAGCCAGCGAGCCACAGTGCTGGATTGGTCCTCAAGAGCAGCTGGAGGGCGCCCCCACCTGCTGCCTGGACGGAGGCGCCCCAGGCCCCAGGTCCCGCTGAGCGGCTCCCTGCGGCTCCCAGCTGCAGTCAGTGCCAGGGCAAGCCTTCAAGTCCAGAGACTGGGTGGGGAAGCTGAGCCAGGGTTGGGGACTTCCACAGTGTTCTCAACCCTTCAGCCCCAAGTTTATCAGAAGCTGAGATTTCTTGATAGAAAAAGTATAGTTAAGGTTGGTCATTAAAATCCAACAGTAATCTCTTGAAATTAAGTCTGCTTATTTCAAAATGATTGTGTGAGCTGGTAAAGGATGATGCTATGACACTGCTGTGTCACGATGATTTTATAAACGCAGTAAAATCCTTCTCTCTGTCCTGGTTTATCATTAAAAAATTAAACAGTATAATTACAATAAGTGCATAATTTACAAAAGCCCTACATTTGTTCATAGGATCAATACATACAAGCATTACAGTACATTCACGTGAAGGACTGCCATTAGGATAAGCCACGAACGRGAGGGCACCCAGAGTCTGGACCCGGGGGGAAGCAGTAACTACGCCAGGAGGAGCCGAGTTCACATAAATATAAGAAACAGTAAATTCTAAAATATTTTCTCTATGATATTCTTGAATTTTTCAACTAGTTAAAAACTCTGTAATAAAATATCTTAGGGTCCATATAAGGAGTATCAACAGATTAAAGATCCATTGAATTCTAAACTGTCGTCTGCTGGATTCAGAAGGCTGGGTCATCTGTAGAAGTAGTGCGGGTACACTGCAAGAGAGAACAGAGGCCGCGCTCAGCACACGCCCTCCTGCAGCCCCGCCCCTGCCACCCCTGCCCGGCCAGAGCATCACTATGAGCTCACCAGGGTCTGCACTGTCCCCGAGGGCATGCAAAGAAGGCACCAACTAAGCAAGCAAGACCCAAAGCCAACCCAAGTCCAGCTAAGACGCCCAGCCKAGCAAAGCAGGCAGCTCCCCCCTGTGAGAGCTCTCACGAGGCAGGCTGAGGCCAGCAGCACCCTGGACCTGTGGGACAGGACCCCCCACACAGACACATCCCAGTCACCAGAGCTGGCCCAGAGACTGGCTCTGTGCTTCAAAGTCAACCTTTGGGCGGACGACTCTGGTGTCACTCGATGCAGCAGCCTCATGAGGCGCATTCCCAACTGGGCTCTGGCCCGCTCCCGAGGATGTGCTCCCCACCAGCAGGCCCCTGCGCGCAGGCGTGAGGAGGGACAAGGTCACACCCTCCTCCTGACAGCCGCAGCACCAGTGCCACCTGACAGGTGGACTTCCACAGCAGCAGAATGGCTCTCAAGGACCAGTGCCCACAGCCTCGCCTGGCATTGAGCTCCAGGCCTGCCAATGTGTGCCCGGAACATTCCCGGGGACGGTGCTGCTCTCTACTCACCGGAGGAGGCTTCAGCAGGAGTAAGTCCTGACTGTAGCAGAATCCAACCTCTGTGCTCCCGATACACTGCCTGCTCCGACCACCACAGCAGGAAGCGTGCAAACACAGCGTGCAGTTAGTGTTGAGACCTCACACAGGGCACATCTCCTCGCCTAGGGTGGGGCCTCCCGGGAGCTGAGGGAGCCTGCTGGAGTGGGGCGGCGGCCAGGGCAAGAGCACCAGGGGGCTCAAGAGGGTCCCCCCCACCTCCCAGGAGCCCGAGGACACTGGCACCTACTCTCCAACAGCAAGGGCGCACTGTGCACACAGACAATGACTCCAGAACACACATGTGCATGAAGAAGGGACGGCACTTGAAGCAGGCACCTGGCTCCTCCTCGATCTCTGCACTCATGGTTAGTGAAACAGACCTCTCCTTTGGCCCTAGCACTGACCTCCAAGAACCCCAGGAGGTGCACCGGCACCTGTTCCTGTGGGACGGCCCCTGCCCTGGGACGGGGCTGCCAGAAAGGGACCAACTCCACCCAGGACAGGGGTGGAACCTGCTGCCCAGCACTCGCTGCTCATGGGATGGGTCAGAGGTAAAGAGCAGGTCCGGGGTGTCCAGCCAGGGCGCAGGCTAGGACAATGACTTCTCTTACTCCAGTGTGTTTCAACTAGAAGCGATGGAGACCACAGAGCGGAGTTCTTGTTTAAGAAACATACCCCGAGGCCCCAGGGGTGAGCCCAGCCCCTCGCAAACCATAAGGCAGGTAGGACACCTAGAGCAGGCTCGGCTGCCCCAGCTGCAGTTTCTGGTTTCCCACAGGTACATGGGGACCACTCTGAGCAACATCTTGCYATGGTTGATGGGACTGGCTCTCTCTGTGCGTCCGGATCTCGAGCCCAGGAAAGCTGCTGGAKCGGCCCCTGCTCTCCCTCCCCAGTCAGTCAGCCACCCATCTCACCAGCTGCAACACCTTCAGTGTTCCTGGGAGACAAAGTCTCCTCAGTTTATTTCTAGTCAGTGTAAACTCTTGTTCTTATTGTTGCACTTAACATTTAACAGAGGAAATGCAGTGTGAGGAGGAAACGTACAATGAGAACACAGGCCCAGCGCCCATAGGGACTGTCCCTAGTGGATAGACCAGCAGCCAAGGGCCACGACACAGTGGGCATGGGTTAGCCATCCGCATGCTCCTCAGAAGAAAGACGCTCATCTTCCAAAAGCTGCCAGTTAAAACACACACTGGATTTTGCCCTTTAAGTATATTACTAAACTCTGGCAAAAGAAAATCCAGCTTTTACCAAAAATGCTGTGCTAAGCCATTCTTACCAAGAGTGTCCAGCTAATAAAACTCCCTATACACGTGCTTTTCCCTGATTTGTACGTATGGCGTGAGAGCAAAACCTCCTTGCAGGAGGTGCTAATGACAGAAGACCAAAAGGACATTCTGAGAGCCACTTGCTCTCCACAGCCCATCGTCTGCACCAAGAAGCAGAGCAAACGAAGCCCACGCCCGGTAGAGGGGCTGCCAATGACCCGACTCCTGCAGTCAGCCAAGCCTCCGTGAGAAGAATCCATGTGACACCCGTTTCACAGACAGGGAAGCTGAAGCAGGGCACAGCTAAATGCTGCCAAGGTCGTGACCTCCGAGCAGTGGAACTAGGCTCAGCCCTAGGGTGGCTCTCCTCTCCGCACCGTCTCCCATTATTCAGCCCAGGTCAGAGCAAGGCCTTCCCAGGAACCTCCCAGCCACACAACCAGCTGAGTCCTGGGGCCAGAGAGGACACCCCAGGGAGCAGCCCAGGCCCCTCTGGGAAGCCTGGGGCTGGCCAGCTTGGCTCYACCCAGCCTCCCGCAGGGTCCCATCTCCTTGGCAGCCCTTTCCTGACAGGCATAGGTGGGCTTACACAGAAAGGCCATGGCTGGTGGGCAGAAGGCAGAAACTGAAAACTCTGTCAGGTTTAAAATTACTCCACCGTTTTTCCCAGGGTAGAGAGAAGTAAACACTGTGGTCTGAAAGCTGCCACAGTGCAATCTCAAGAACTTGCTCGCCAGGGCCGCCTGCCACACCCACATGCCATGTCAAGAGGGCAGCCACAGCCCTGAGCACACCACCGGGGCTTCAGTTTATTAGTTGAGAGAATATGCTCAGATTCAACCAGACAAGATGTTCTTAAAAATCCTCTATTGTTGCTGAACTTTTATGAACGCTTGTTAGGGCTGATTTTAAAACATTGACAACTGGGCATGCAGCCACACTTAAACGTCTGGTAGCACACGAGATGGCCATTCTAGGTAAGAGGGATGCTCATGCTCCAGCGAGTGGTGGGTCACGCGGCCCACCACCTACCGTCCAGCTGCATCTTCTTTGGCTGCATAGAGGGGGAGGACATAGAAGAAGTAACCCGGAAGTTGGCCGGAAGTGTCTCTGCTGACCCGGCCGCCAAGCCCCGGATGTCCTTTGGTCTGAACTTCTTCCTCCACGAAGGTGCTCTCCTGAAGCTTTTGTCATCATCCTGCSACCAAAAACAAGCTTCGTTTCTAAGTGAAAGCACAGGGGGGGCGAGGCAGCACAGCCGGGATCCAGCCTTCCCGCAGGCTGAAGCAGGAGGCTCACAAGTTCCAGGCCAGCCTCAGCAACTCAGCAAGACCCTGGGCATCTTAGCCAGACCCTATCTCAAAATAAAAGATAAATAAAAACACGAAAAGGGCTGGAGATGTAGTGCAGGGGTATAGTGTCCCAGGTCCAGTCCCCCGCACCTACCTTTGTATCTGCCCACCTGCCTGAATGAGTGAATAAACACACAAATAAAGGACAGGTGCGGCTGGCAGAGTGACTGTCTTCGGGAGGAAAGTGGGACCTGTGAGTGTATCCTGGTCCCCAGGTAGCACACCCCTTCCTGGGGCGTGCCCTGAGCTCCCAGGGGACGTGCTGCTCCCACTGCACTGCCCGTGTGTGACGTCACTCTCCAGCTGTGGGGTGCACCTTGATTCATCATAAAGAGAGCTGCAAGCTGTAAGCAGCCCCGCCTGACGCCAGGCCACTGCTGACCAGCCTCGTTGTCACAGGAGGTGGCTTCTCCCCCACCCCACTGAGCTCTCCTAAGGCCCAGTGAGGAGCACCTAACGTGTGGGAATGAACGAGCCGCGGCTGTGTGAGAGGATATTCACATCTGGCATTGATATACTCCTGAAACGTGCCTCCATGCACAGCAAAGCACAGGGCTCTGGACTCGGGTGGGAGATCCATCTGTCCTTGAAACACAACTTATAGGTTACATTCCTAGATTGCAACCAGTTTTATGATGTGAAAACCATTTTTGAGGAGTATCAAAAATAGTAAAAACAAAAACAAGACTGTTCTGTGAAGCTGGATGCAGAGTCCCAGAAACTTGGGAAGCTGAGGCAGGAGGATCCTGAGTTCAAAGCCAGCCTCACCCATTTAGTGAGACCCTAAGCGACTTAGCAAGTCACTGTCTCAAAACAGAAAAAGGGCTGGGGATGTGGCTCAGTGATACAGTGCTCCTGGGTTCCACCCCAGCCCCAGCACACACTGCACAGCTGAGGACTTACCTCATCAAACCTTCTGTCGGTCCCCATGACCAAAAGGTTGTTAAACTCTCTTTCCAGGACCGCTCGAGCCTGGAATGACAAAACCACCACCCAACTCTCATCATTCTAGTTTGAAGAAGGTTTGCATATTACAATTATCTTTGAAACTGAGACTCGAAAACTCAACTGAGCTCCTGGAAACACGGAGCCAGGGTAATGTCTAGCATCAGGGCTTTTGTCAGGGCAGAGGGAGGGACCTGCCACCTCCTGGAAGCGCACAGGAAGTGTGCTGTGTGCACTGCTCAGGCGGCTGACAAAAGCATTCGAYGTTCTGTAGAACACAAACATCTCCATTTTCAAGTGGGCTCATGAGTCAAAAAGACTGACAAAGGTCAATAAGACCTCCAGGAGGCACACCCCGATATTTCTCTGAGATGTAACAACTGCGTGTATCTCTGCGTTGACAAGCAGAACTATAATAAAATATTCTTTTTTTTTCTTTAGCTGTAGATGGACATGATACCTTTATTTTATTTATTTGCTTTTATGTGGAGCTGAGGATCAAACCCAGTGCCTCATAYGCCAGGCAAGTGCTCTACCACTGAGCTACACTCCCAGCCCTACCATGAAACAATCTTCTTTTGTTTACTTCAAGAATCTAATGCTTGCATCAGAAAATGGAAGGATGAGAAACAAAAATATTAATAAAGCATCTGCTGATTTTGAACCACTGGGTGAGGGACAGTGATAGAAGAGAGAGCACTAGTGGCTGAGGTCACCTTCTTCTCCACCATTAACAACTGAACACTGCCTGAGTGGGTGGGGCGTGGCCAGGGCCTGGCATACCTGGGGGTTCTGGGTTGGGATCTGCAATAACAGTGCCAGTGCGTTGAAATCAAAGGTCTCATCCAAAGCAAGAAGTGCCCCGTGAACGCCGCTCTCTATGAGATTGTTTGCATATTCTTTAAGTCCAATCGACAAGATCCAGCGAATCACTCGATCGTTGCTCCAAACAAGCACATCTGCAAAAGAGTAACCCTGTGACTATGGCTTCAGAGAGCCTCTCCACCACACCCCTGAAACGCTGAGGACTGCCACGCCTGGCACTGAGACTCCCCAGGAGAGGGCTCCCGCTGGAGCTCCTCTTGAGCACAAGAGGAAGAAGCTCCTTCTGCAGATCAGAGCGAGGCCAGACAGCACAGGCCCCAGCAGGCCCTAGCATGGACCAACGTTTCACACACAGACCCCCAGCCCTGTGACCACCTGGACACCTCACTCACTTCAGCACAAACCCCAGCTTCTGGACTGGAAGTTTCCACTCATGGTGAATATCCTAAACATTTTTCCCACTTTCAAAAGAGAGACTTAAAGACACCACCCAGCATATTAAAGACTTTGGACAGGTTGTGCAAATTAAATTTCAAAATCTGCTCGATTAGAAATCCACTCAGATGCTCACCAACCACTTACAAAGGCCRTTCTTGTTAACTGTGAAGGGATGCAGAAGGGACACAAAGAACACAGCAGAGGACCATGTCCGCTGCTCGCCACCTGGATACAAGGCTGCGCGTACCTGCTCGGTGCCAACGCCAACCTGTGGTCTTTCCCAAGACTTGTGCTGACACAACTGTGAGCAAGTGGCATCCAAATGGCCTCCTCCAACTGCACTTCAGCTTCTCTCTCAGGGAGAACCAGGGATGCAAAAGGCCGTTGCAGGGCCGCAGAGAGGGCGTGGAGGCCTAGTGCAGTGCGGGGGCTGCCGCTCTCCAGGGTGGCTGGTTCCCTCCCACCACCACTGCTGGAATCAGTGGCCTCCTGGCTCCACGGGCAGTCAGGGCCTCCTGGGCTACAGCCCGTTTCCGTTTCCGGCTGATGGACCTGACTCCTTTCCCCAACAGGCTGAAGGCTGCTCAGGGCCTCATGCTCTGTGGGAGCAGAGCTGCAGGTGCAGTCTGTGCTTCTGCATGTGGCCCTGGGCGAACCCCAGAGCACGGGTGCCTCACWCTTCACCCCAGTGACGCAGCACAGGGTGGGGTGGGGGGACAGCACTGCTGAGCAGCAGCACATTTGGCAGAGGCAATAGGAGGAAAACTAGCTGGGTGTGGTGGCGCACGCCTCTCATCCCAGCGACTCAGGAGGCTAAGGCAGGAGRATGGCAAATTCAAGGCTAGTCTCAGCAACTTAGCAAGACCCTGTCTCAAAATAAAAAAATAAGAAGGGCCGGGGATGTGGCTCAGACCTCTGAAGTCCCAGGGCAAAAGCCAGCCCCAGGTATGTGGCCCAGACTCACGCAGGCACCAGCGCTCTCCAGGGACTGGCATTCGCCCTTCTCTCCTGGGTGAGGCCGGCACAGCCGTCTGCACCTGAAGCCTTCCCTGCCCTCCTCTGGGTGCTAGAGATGGCGCCCAGGGCCTGGAGCATGCTCGGCCAGCGCCTGCTGCTGAGCCCCAGGCTTTTTAAGTTCTTGCCCTTGATTTTTTTCATCACTGAGGCTGCTGTATGGGCCACAGGGGCATCCAAGCCCATGCACTTCATCCTCTGGGCACAAACACTCACCTTTTAWTTCATTCTGACTCTCCTCCCTCTTCCTCTCCAGTTCTTTCCGGTCATAATTCAACCTTCGCAGGCACATGATTCCGCACTGGAAGCTGTTCCTGGTGACCAACAACAGCAGAGATCAGGAGACAGTGGCCGTCAAGTCTGGGCTGGGAGTGGGCCCGTGGTGCCGCTTACCTGTGAAAGCTGTCTACCATCTTCAGCTGCCCCCGCAGGTCCTTCTTGGTCAGGTGGTCCAGCATCCTGGCATCCACCAGGCACTCCATGAAGTAGCTGCGGTACTGAGGGAGGCCCAGGCTGGGCAGCCACTCGTTGCCGATCCACTCGTGGTTCATGTCCCCATAGGCGAGCGTCTGTTCATAACGAGYGGATGATAGCAGGTTGGATTTCTCACTGCTACATATTCTTGAAAGCTAAACTAAGGGCAAAACTGCTATATAATTTCTAAATAACTTGACCTGTTCCCACATTTAAAATATGCTAGTAAAACTTCATACAAAAAGTTTAAAAATTTAACTCATTTATAATAAAAATTTAACTTCTTTACCAAACCACACTAAAATGGTGACGGCCTAGCAGTGTCCCCTGAGCAGCTGCCCTGCAGCAGCCCCGTGGGGAGGAGGTAACGACTCATGAACAAGCTTGAAGGACAGCAGCCCTGCTCGCTAGGACACCTCGGGCRGGCGGCGGGCTTTGGTCTTGGTGGAAACTGAACCCTGCATCCTTGGCCCTTTCCCTTTTCCATTTTGGGGCAGAGCCTTACTATGTTGCCCAGCTGGCCCTGAACTTGCGATCCTGTGTCTCCCTCCCCGATGGCAGTGCCACCACCACCGCTTGGTTCTAGCTTTATTTTTCAACCCTTTTCTTTCCTAAGCAAAACATCGGTGTATTTCAAAATCCGGGGAAGTAAGTGTAAAGATAGTTTTAAGGGGCTGGGTTGTGGCTCAGTGCTCATCTCTCGTGTGAGGCCCTGGGTTCCATCCTCAGCACCACATAAAAATAAATAAAATAAAGGTATTGTGTCCAACTGCAGCTAAAAAGTAAAAAATAGTTTTAAAGAAGAAATAAACCAATAACTAACAGGACTGAACGGGACAAAGACACAATTATAGTCAGAAGACATCGACACTCTTCTCTCAATCACTGGCTGGAGAAGACGGTAACAGAAAGGAAGTGCTCTGAAGGACGCACCTAAGACCCCACGTCACCCCGTGCTCTGGTCGCACCTCAGAGCCCTCTCCTCTCCTCCTCCCCACGGTCCTTCCAAGCTGCTGAGCTTGAGTCGGGCAGCGGCATAAGCTCACTGGCTCCTCAGTGCCAAGCGATGAAGATACCAGACTGGCACAGCACAGCMCAGCCTGGAGCTGCTGGGCTCCAGCAACCTCTGCCCCACGGAGCAGCAGGCCGAGAGCTGTGTGCCAGGCCCGGTGCAGCAGGAGCCCTCCTCAGATGGTGCTGGGGACTGAACCCTGGGCACGGGCATGCCGTGCACATGCCCACCACTGAGGTGCACTGCCTCTCACCATATTTAGAAGCAGGAATCACACAAAGGGTGTCCTCTGACTTTAATAAAATAAATCAGAATTCAACAGGTCAGATGCAGTGGTGCTGCTGCGGTGCCAGCCACCTGGAGGTGGAGGAAGGAGGCAGATAGCTAGAAACTGCCCAAATAGCTGAAAATTAACAATCATGTAAGAATCCCTAACAAAATATTTGCAAGTCAACAAAATATTAAAAAAATAAGATATGACTAATGGGGTTCATTATTCCAGGCACAAAGGTTAGTTCAACATTTGGAGGGCACAAAAAAAAAAAAAAATCAATGAAGTTTACCCTACATGAAGAGATTGGAAAAGAAAACCATTCAGCGTGGTGGTTCACGTGTGCAATCCTAGCAACTTGGGAGGCTGGGGCAGGAGGATGGCAAGTTCAAGACCAGCCTCAGCAACTGAGGCCCTGTCTCAAAATAAAAATAAAGAGGTGTAGCACAGCAAGGTAGGGATGACGGAGACTGCCCTGACCTGAGGCCAGGCAGCCACAGACGTCTACAGCTGGCCTCCTCCTCAGGGGAGCAGGGACCAGGCARTGGCGCCCATCCTACCAGCTCTAAGTAGTGCTGCCCTGGAGGCCTGGCCACCGCTCAGAGCAAGGAAAGAATGAGAGAGCACACTGCTGGGCAGAGACCAAGTCTCCTTACAGAGGACACGACTCCAGGGTCAGGACAGGGGAAGGGCCTACGAATCGGCTGTCAGAGCTGACACGCGCACTGAGCAGAGCTCCAGGGTGCGAGGCCGATGCGTGAGAATGAACCGTATTTCTAGGCTGGGCATCATGGCCACCCCTTCAGGGCCAGCAACTTGGGAGGCGGAGACAGAAGGATCCCAAGTTCAAGTCCCACCTGGGCACCTTTGTGAGACCCTGTTTCAAGATAAAATAAAAAGGGCTGGGGATGTGGCTCAGTCATACAGTGGCTCGGGCGAGAGAGGGAGGGAAGGAAAGGAGAGAAGAAAGAGCGAGAGGGAAGTGTTTCTGAATAACTAGCAATGAAGTTGAAATTGAGGTTCTAACACATCATTTGTAATGGCATTCAACTCTGTAAAATTCTCAGATGAATCGAATGTGTGTGAGGTTTGTACAATGAAAAGTAAACATACTGCACATACACAGCAGGGAAAGCCCGGGTGCCCTCCASCCAAGAAAGACCAGGTCACCTTCACAGCAACCTGCAGGCACACACCCCACCACCACCACGTCCATCCAATGTGATATTTGTTCCAGTCAAGCTGGAAAGAGCGATTCAAATTCCAACAGGAAACAATGCTCCTCTGAACAACTGGGAGCGAGGTGACAGGCACGCTGTGGTCTCACCACCAGTTCACTCTCTCCACCCTCCTCCTGGGCCTACTGCTCACAGCATGGAGGCCGGATGCCGTCTTCTACTCTACAGGCTATGTATTCTTGAATGGGCAGAAAAAGTAAAGAAAATGTCTACTACATAATCGCAAAGCTGGGCCCACGCCTGCAATCCTAGAGACTCAGAAGGATGAGGCAGGAAGATCACAAGTTTGAGGCCAGCCTCTGCAACTCAGCAAGACCTTGTCTCAAAAAAAAAAAAAAAAAAAAAAAAAAAAAAAAAAAAAAAAAAAAAAAAAAAAAACCCAAGCTGGGCACAGTGGTGCACACCTGTAATCCCAGCAGCTCAGGAGGCTGAGGCAGGAGAATTGCGGGTTCAAAGCCAGCCTCAGCAACAGCGAGGTATTAAGCAACCCAGTGAGACCCTGTCTCTAAATAAAATTCAAAATGGGGCTGGGGATGTGGCTCAGTGGTCAAGCGCCCCTGAGTTCAAACCCTGGTACCCCAAAACAAACAAACAAACAAACAAACAAACCAAAACACCAAACCACGGCAGTACATGGAAGCAGAACCCACAGGAGCCACGGTCTCTGGTGTCTCGTAGCACATACTCTTCACAGTCTGCATGGCTGTACCGGAACTGCCGGCAGCAAGAAGGGGCTCTCGTCAGAGCACCCCCACACAGTGTGCACTCACACCCTCAGGCCCAGCTGTGCCCAGCGAGACGGAGCTCTGTGCTGGTCCTGCTCATGGAGGCTCCTGGCAGCTGGCAGTGTCCACACAGCAGCACTCTCCTATCTGTTAAGTGCAAGCGCCTCGGTGCTTCCTCCCTGAGGATCCAGGGGCAGCTTACATCTCCTCTTGGCTAAGAGCTGATGCCTGTAATCCCAGCGACTCAGGAGGTTGAGGTAGGAGGATTGCAAGTTGGAGGCCGGTCTCAGCAACTTAGTGAGACCCTGTCTCAAAATAAAAAATAAAAAGGGCAGGGATATAGCTCAGTGGTASAGCACCCCTGGGTATAATCCCCAGCACCAAAACGAAACAGAACAAGCAGCTGCCACTGCAGGGCAGCAGGGAGAGCAGGCTGTGCGCCTGCCCTGGCCTGGAGTACAGTGACACCAGCAGAGGCCGGCCACAGCATGGTGGGCCACCCTGCACCTGCACAGTCCCTAGTCATGGTTCCATGGCCAAGGATACATGTCAAGCTATTTAATGTCTCCTGCATGTCTCTGATGCTGGCAATTTCACATTCAACTGCTGACAGTGTTCAGTGTCATCCCGTAAAATGCCCTGAAATTTAAGCAATTAAGAAATGAGTTCTGTTTAATCCACTGATAGTCCTTATTGGTCTCACAAAAGACCTAAATGACAATTAATGAGGTCATGCCTGGAGGGAGCCACAGACCCCTAGCCCAGGGTGGTGAAACCCAGTGTCCACAGCCACTCCTCCTTGGTGTAAGAGGGACGAAAGGTGGGATAGCGGGGTGCTCTTCTCCTACCTCCCTCTTTCCACGTCCATCTAAACASACGTACATGCACACCACAGATGGAATCCGGGGGTGCTCAACCACTGAGCTACATCCCGGCCCTTTTTATTTTTTACTTTGAGACAAGGTCTCGCTAGTTGCCCAGGCTGGCCTTGAACTCACTATCCTCCTGCCTCAGCCTCCCGAGTCACTGGGACGACAGGCATGGCTGYAGCATCCAGCGTCACTGGTTATACTTCATAAGTACCAGAGGAGGAAACAGCTCGCGCTCATTTCTATTCCTTTTTTTTTTTTGGTACTGCAGATCAAATCCAGGACCTTGCCAATGCTAGGCAAGTATTCTTCCACTGAACTACACTCCCAGACCAAGAGGCTTTATTTCTGAGATCATCAATAAAATCTTTAAACCTACAGTGTTAGGATATTCTTAGTGAAATGCCAACAGAAAGAGAGGAGGAGGCACCTTGCCAGTGCTGGGGTTTTGTACTGTGTCCCATGGTTTCTTGCCAGTTGGTCTGACTAGTGCTACCCCGGATGGAGCTAGGTGTGCACAATCTCAGGAGCCACCTGCAGGGCTGAGTGTGAAAGATCCCAGGTTCAGCTTCCACGGCTCCTCAGGAGGGACATTCAAAATTGTCCATGAGACGCACTCTTTAATCCTATGCTTAACTCGATTAATGTTTTCAGATCATTAAAAACACTACTAGTTGATTAAGACGCTAAGATCCCTGGAAAAGCAAACTGTATGAGTTTTCGTACTCCAACACAGAGCGAAGAAGGTATCATAGAAAAGCTCCAACCTGAGCCCAGCTTCCCTCCTCGTCTTCCTGCGTCACGTGGTTAGGAATGCAAAAGAACATGACCATTAGTAGAAGTGAGCCACGTCAGCTCTGCAGGGCGGGTGCAGCACGAGGGAGCAAACGTCCACAGCATCACACATCATGCAGCACACACCACCAACACCAGCCATGCAGGGAGCAGACTCTCATGCACCACAGCCGTCAAAGGAGCAAGCTGGGGTCAGACGATCCACGGTGCTAAACTGCAGTCTCTCCAAATGCAGAGAGAAATTACAATCACTCCAAGCAGAGTGAGGCTACCAGCTTTAAGTTCCAGAAAAAAAAAATCTAAAACAAAGCACAAAATTCTACTTTACACGTTTAACTAATAACCTAAGAGGAATACTTATCTGAAACAATTAAATACAAAATAAATTTGATAGTTTTAGTTTTCAGCAAAAAGGCAAAAATCAGCTGGGCTCAGCGGCAAGCGCACCATAGGGTGCGAGCTGCAGGGTGTGACTGACCGTGTGTGGCGTGGCAGCAAGGGTCTCCATCTCCTCGTGTGTCAACCAGACATTTCCTGTGGTCTGAGGCGACCCAGTGCACCAGCCACGTCCAGGGCAGGGGGAAGCGTGACAAAGAGGAGAGGCACACACATAAGCCACAGGCAGAGAAGGGACCGAGCAGGGGCTCCTCGCATAGCTCCAGCTCAGAAGCCCACAGAAGTTTGGCAGGACACACACCCAAGCTCCTCCCACTGAGGAACGACCATACTCTGCCCCACTTGGTCAGCAACACTATGCAGCCTAGGATTTCCTGAGCTTGGATGCCAGCACCTCCCCCMACAGTACCCAAATACAGGCAAAGGAAGACCCACTTGCCACTTCTGGCGAGTCTGAAGTCCCCTAGTGACGACTGACTCAAGTACTCACAACAGTCTTCCCACGCAGACTGTACGCTGGGTGTRCAAGGCCCCGGGTTTGACCCCAGAACCCCAAAAGAAACCCTACACCAGGGGCTAGGTCTGTGGCTCACTGGTAGAGTGCTTGCCTAGCATGCATAAGGCACTGGGTTTGATCCTCAGCACCACATAAAAATAACTAAGTAAATAAAGGTATTGTTAAAAAACAAATAAATAATATTAAAAAAAAAGAAAAAGAAAGAAAAGAAACCCTACACCAACTTCCACCCACCAAAAAACCTCAGTGCCACGTAGATAGAGTTAACAAGGGACAACAGAGCGGGAGGCAGTGCTGCAGCTCTCCCAAGGCTCCTCGCTGYAAGGGCTCACAGCTGCTCTCAGCCCAATGGCTGAAGCCAGAGGGAGCCAGGGGGCCAGGGTGGGCACTACGAGGCGCAGGGCATCAGGCTAGCTGGAGGCCACGCTGCAGGCCCTCTGAGTACCTCAGGGCAACTTCTGGGTGTGCAGTCTGACAGTGCAGTCTGCCTGCTGTGCACTCTAGTCCCTGTCCCCGTACAAGCTGACTTGGATCTGGTTAGAGTGCTCCCCCAGGATGAGCACTCTCAGCCATGAGCAAGAACAAGCCTCCTCAGCTCATTTCCAAAGGTCTTTGATTTTAAAAAAGGCAAATTATCTCAACATCTTTCTGTAAAGGAACTGTGGCCTCAAGTCAGGCTGGGGCTAGCAGTCTGCTCATCAGAAGTCGGGCTCCTGGGCTCTGGGCAGGGGTCCTCTCTCCAGGGTAGGCTAAAGTACAGGGCAGGGCAGCCACTGTGCCACATCTCAACTCTGCCAATCAGGAGCCGGCCCCCGAACTCAACAACCATCCATGCTCTCCGCAGAATGGCTTCTCACCTCCTCAACCCGGGGGTCACTGCTTGGGGACTCTGCTCGCACCCCCCACCACATGAGGAGCAATCACGGCGGTCAGACACCCACAGGCCACGACCTGTACTGGGCCGTGAGCGCTGGCCCCAGCCACAGGGGAAAACACTTGTAGGCCAAGAGCCAGAATGMCAGGCTGGGGATGCCCTCACTGCCTCTTAGCTGCCACGGGAGAAAGCAGGGAGTGAAGAATTCTGGGGTCAGTCTGTGGAGGGTCAGCCCACTCTCAGTCACGCATGTGCTGGGGTCAGTGGTGGCCTGAGGAGCCAGGAAGTGCCAGGGCGCCACAGCAGCCCGGCAGCACTCCAGGCCTACTGCTCCCACACAGGGCACGGAGGGAGGAGCCAGACACGAGAATGAGGGAGCCGATCCTTCTGCACGCAGCACAGGACCAGTCCACGGCTAGCCGTCCACCCGCAGGGGCAGGAGCTCGAGGGCACAGCCCAGGATTACTGGGTACTGCCCTATGTGCGTGCTCTAGTAACACCTTAGAACGCTCACACCCACCATGTGCTTTTCCCAAGTGCCCTTTTGTACAGCGCAAACGCTAGTCATTTACTTTCCACTATGGAATAGAAAATGAAATTCCAAGTTTTATATAAAGCACGTACTTAAAATGCTAATTTTTTTCCTCCCCAAGAAGCCCTTAGACTGATTCAATTTTGATAGATTCACATTTGTTTATTTTTAAAYGAGGCCTTTCTAGCTGAGCTTTCACAAAAATATTTGGTCAAGTTCCTTTGGACCACTCAGCTCCCCAATGGCCATCTCTGGGGTATGTGCACACTGCAGCTCTGAATCAGAGCCACCTGGGTAGTGTGCTTATTAACTGGGAAGCACCTCTGAGGGCAGGGTTCCTTCTCCCTGGAGAACACGAGGACCCTCCCTTGAACCCCCCTAAACGCACCGTTCTCGACGTGGGAGGGGCAGATGGGCTGGTCAGCGACATGATCTCCTGGATGGCCAGCCGCAGCTTCAACCTGTGCAGGGGGTTGCTGATGCCAATCTCCCGCTGGATCTCGGTGTCGGACAGGGCTGACATAATGGCCCCGCTTTTCACATTTGCTCGGCAGGCAGCCACGTACCAGGCGGGCATCCCAACCCAGAGCTGGAGACAGAGTGGGCAAGGCAGAGTGTTAATGCAGGGGATGAGCACCACAGCTGCCCCTGTCCGGGACAGGCCCTCGGCTCCACGCCCAGCGCACCTCCAGCCACACGACCACCGTCGGTCCGTCCCACTGCGCGAATGGTAAGCCTTGCCGCCGGGCCTCCTCCAGCAACTCATGCCTGCGAACAGATCAAGGAGACACTGAGGACAGACTGGCACCACCAGCACCCATGTGAACGAGCTGCCAAGTGCCCTCTCTGAGCACTTCAAAGGTGCAGCAGCAGACATTCTCATTCCCCTCAGTCCCCCGCAGCCTGATGCTATCAGCAGCATCCCCCCAGCCAGCTGCACGTGCCACCGAGGACACTGGGGGAGGAACAGCAGGCGACCCCTGATTCCATGGAGCCACCGTCTCCTCAGTGGGCAGGAGTTTCCACTGCAGTCCTCATATCCACTTATCCATTCTCTAAACAGTGAAGAAAAATGTCTACGAAGAGGAAACCACGCTTAGAAATGGAGAACACCACAGATTTTAACACTAAAAACGTTGCGATCTAAAGCAAGTGAGCGATGACGCCGGTTTTCCTGCACACTGCCATGCGGCTCTGCAGCCTTGGCCAGAYTGTGTCCCTGGGTGGTCCTGGTTTGGCCCACAGGCTTCCTCTCCAGCACTCAGGACAGGGTGGCGTGAGCAGGCATGCTGGGTGGTGGGACCGTGTCACGACTCGCCAAGCTGCCATCTTCAAGTGACATGTCTACACTGGAGCTAGTACTCTAGGAGCACGAAGAAACCCCCTCTGACTTCATGTGGTCACCTACACTGACACTTAGAAACAGGCCAGCCGAGAGGAGGGCCCTGTGTGGGCTTGCCAGCAGGGCACCTCCAAGTCGGCTTTCTCCCTTTAATTTGGTGCCAGGGATGGAACCCATGGCCATGCACGAGCTCTACCACTGAGCCACACAGTGTCCTCCTTGACTTACTTTCATATTTTTTTGGTACTGGGGATTGAAGCCAGGGGTGTGTGATTTATCCCTGAACTGCATCCCCCAACCCTTTTAATGTGTTTTTTTTTTTTAAATTTTTTAGTTATAGCTGCACACAATACCTTTATTTATTTTTATGTGGTGCCGAGGATTGAACCCAGGGCTTTGCACATGCTAGGCGAGTGCTCTACCGCTGAGCCACAACTCCAGCCCCCTTTTAATGTTTTATTTCAAGACAGGATCTCACTGAGTTGCTGAGGCTGGCCTTAAACATGTGATCCTCCTGCCTCAGCCTCCAGAGTTGCTGGGATTACAGGCATGTGCCACTGCAGTAGGCTCAAGTCATTTAAAAATTCCTAGGTTACCTTTAGTCAGCTATCTTTCTGCAATAATATGTGCAGAATATTTCATAAACTATTTTATTGCTAAAGATAAACACTGGCCTGTCAATAATCTTCAACAGTCATGGCCTTTTCTTCCACCCTAGAGGCACAATCACAGTTCACCTTCCTGACACGCTGCAGAGAAAATTTCAAAAAAAGAGTTCCTGAGGTCACCATTAGGCTTCTGGGGGATAATAAGCGTTAAATTAGCTAACAGTAATTATACCAGAGAAAGCAGTGAGTGTTTTGATCTCAGGTAGAATAACAAACACCAAGGTTTCTGAACTGAAACAAGAAAGCCATTCATGAACAGAGGAAACCAAGGCCAGCAGACGTGTGCCGCGCTGGACAGGAGGGCACGCTGGACAGGAGGGTGCTCTGGACAGAAGGGTGTGGAGGCCCCCAGGAGCCAACCTGGCAGCAGCGAGGGGAGGAGTCCTGCGTAGGCAACCTCCTCAAGCCAGCGGCTACAACCTAGTTAATGGCACGGGAAGCCACACTGCACAGTGCAGATCACTCTTGGGTGAGCCTCCCTGGGTCACTCCCTGGGATGTGTCCTTCATGACGTGGACGAAAGAGGTCACAAGCCTTTGGCACTCTGCCAGTGACTTTGATGAGACAGCAGGTGGTAGAATAGTCCCCAGCCCTGGGGCCAGGCACGCGCTGCTCTAGGCAATGACTACAGCACCCTGCCACAGCCCCTCTGGGTTTCAGGGACCAGGATCAAGGAAAGAGTGCAGCTCTGGGAAGGAGAAGGCAGTGGAGGTAGGACACTGCACACCACGGTCCCAGACATCAGGAAGCAGTTGGAACCAACCCAGAGGGGTGCTGGCCCAGGCCTCTGGCCATCCTGGCTGCCTCCCCTGCTGGGCTTCCCTGAACCAAACTGGCACCTGACCTGCGCCGCCACCCCAGGTGGAAACAGCAGAGCTCCGGTTTTCTCAGGGAGAAGGCCCGTGTCGAAGGGCACTGGCACGGCCAGCCCACTCCTCCTGGTGGTGCTGGTGGTGTCACAACCACTGCCCTGCTTGGAGCTAGGCAGCTGGGTCACTTGCTGCTAAGCGTGCCCCAACACAGGCAGCGACTTTCCCAAAGGTGACTTGTACAGGCTGAAGAGCCACACAGAACACATGGAGCACCCCCGCTGACATGACTGCCCATCTAGGTAAGAGCACCCGTACGTCCGCCATCACGTGTCAACAACAAAACTACCCATTTCTCTATCACAATTACAAAAATAAGTATGACAGATATTGTTCCTGTATCTTTGAAGTATCGGGGATCAAACCCAGGGATATTCTTCCACTGAGCCACACCCTCAGCCATTTTCTATTTTTATCTTGAGAGAGGGTCTCACTAAGTTGGTGAGGATGGCCTTGAACTTGCGCTCCTCCTGCTTCACCCTCCTGAGTTACTGGAATATAGGTGAGTGCCACCATGCCTGGCATTATGATCAATATTTAACTCTTTTTTTACTGCTCAGTTTTCAAGAAAACATGGACTCTTCTGGCCATTAGATCCAAAGCTTGGAACACAGTAACAGGACTCTTTCTGGAGTGCCCAGCTCTCTCTGCACCTCAGGCCAAGAGCACCCAATTCTGCTCTAAAAAAACTCAGTAATATGCCACTGTTCCAGGGTGGTAACAAGAGGTGCTACTACTGGCCCCATTCTGTGGCCCCAGAACAAAGTGCCGGAGCTTTTGTGCACTGGTTCTTGCGGCCATTGCTTCCTTCCGGAACAGTGAGATCCTGCATCCCCCGCTTTCTGCGCTCAACATAGGACTCRCACCAGGGCCCTCCGAACCAGGTGATGAGTGCCAGGCTGCCAGGCCCCATGACACATGGCACGTGGCCAGGGATATAGGCATCCTTCTCTTGAGATCCAGCCTCTCTGTCAGGACCACATCCTGCCCCGAGGCTGATTTTTAAAGTCAGTGCTCTAATGCAGCCCGACAGGACCTCCTGCTTGACAAAGAGAGCTAGAGGGCGGGGGCAGCTCAGTGGTAGGCACTCACCTCCCACGCACCAGCCTGGGCTCAGCCTCCTGTGGTGCTAAGAAACATTAAGACAAAAATACACCTACAGTTGGAGGAGACAGATGTTTTAGAAATATGCTAAATTCTACAGGGAACAGACCATGTAAAAAAGAAAGACCGTATCATTTTTGGATAATAACACACATTTTGTAATTTGGGCATAAGCCAAATGGCAAAACTGTCTGTGTCAAGAAGCCTGGGTGGGCTGCATGCTACGTGCAGAGCTCCCCACTCTGGGACACACCCTTCCCAACAGGTGCTCTGCACAAAGGCTAGATATTCTCTCAGAGGCAGCTCTTGGTGTGACAGGCACTTCCATGGGCACCACAGCACCCAGGAAGAGATAGAGGCAATGCTCAGATGACAGGAGACACCTCTGGGGAAACTCAGCTGGAGCCTGAGCCTGGCAACCACCAATGCCCACACCATGCAACCTGGAGCAGAGGACTTACGATYGGTGAGCACACTATAGTGCCACAGAAAAGCAGGAAGGGCACCTCAAGACCAAGTCTTGGTGATGCTACATGGGGATTTCTGGAAGCTGTGCACATAGCCAGATGAGCACCTCGAGTGCCCATTCTGCCTGAGCTCTGCGAGCATCTCAGGCAGCATGGGATGAGCTCACCAGCAAGTGCCAAGTGTCCTTGGAATGACCCGAGGAAGCAGCAGCAGCAGCATGCTGGTTCAGCAGGGAGAWGCAGGTCCCAGGGTCGAGCCACTCCTAACAAGAAGCCCTTCGGAGAAGCTACTTTAATTTTAAAAACCAGTGGCAATAAAGTGTTAAACTATACCCTCTATCACACGTATCTCTGGATAACAAATATTGTCCACCTTCATAAAGAGAGCAGATYCCCGAAAATCCACTTCATCTCAGTCCACCAACAGAAACACAATGGCCCGCGTAGTCAGATGAGCAGCCCCAGCTCTCTGAAATTCTGTTATCTTGATGGGACGTTTCAGAACTTACACAGATGCCCTGTGCCTAACCACAGGACACAAAGAAAGTCACTCTCAGACACCCTGCCATAGGCACACCACCACAGAGCCTGGCATCCAGGGGCAGTGGCACAGATCTGAAGAGCACAGCTCCAGAGAAAAGTGGCCTGCCCACCATCAKGCACACCCGCGTGACTGCACACTCCTGGTGTGGAAGGGAATGTGAGAAACAGGAAGTCTGGCGGCCCACTGTAGAACACAGTACTCAGCCTTAACTGGATCCAGCTGAGCCATTTTAATTACAGCCCTTCCCTTGGCCTGCCCCAATCTTAAAATTAGCCACTTGTGCAGACTGTAACCCTGAACTCCCCAAGTGAAGGTGAAGGGCAGTGCTATTAGGGATATAAGCAGGTAGACTACCTGCCCAGGTGTGCTTGCTGGCCAGGTTCCACGCAGTCCTGCTGGCAGGGGTGAAGGCTGGTCCACCACTGCTGAGCACGGCGTTGATCCCTGGGGCGCCCTGGTACTTTTCACCATCCTGGGCCCAGCGTGGAGCTTCAAGTGCGCAGGGGGTCCTGGCACTCCTCCCTAGAGGGGGGCCTTGTTCCTGTGGCTTTGGAGCAGGGGACGAAACTGTGATCCCTTGGGCTGGCAAGGGACCCTAATCCAAAGTGGAGTGGCAATACAGGAGGGCCCAAGCAAGCAAGCACCACTGTGACCAGGTGACACTGTGACCAGACCACGGTGGGAATAGCTGCTCTCTAGCTGGAGAGAGAAGCACAACCTTGGTGGCTGGGACATCCAGGGAACCAAATGGAATGGACAAGAAGTTCCCCATTC